CTAACTAATGAAGCCAAGGGAGGTCCCGAATTTGCCCCAAATTTCAGAGCTAGCATAGTTACGCCAATTCTGGCCATATTTCAAGCTAAAATCAAGACCTTGAAGATGAAAATGTATTTTCCAAGGCTTCCTATCTGGTCTTCTAGATTCTTCAGATTGAAGAGAAAGACAAAACCAAGGTTTGAGAAAAAAACAAAAAACCAAACCAAAGCGACAGAAAACAAAGAAGTAGCATGGATTAGTAAGCGTGATCTACCGTGCAAAGAACTTTCGTCGTGACTTTGGGTTAGTTCGTGCTCCTGATAATGAATTATAGTTTCTTGATGTTGCTGCTGTGGCTGCTGCTCCTGTTGTTGCTCTTCCCGTTGTCGTAAAGCTGCCAGAAAATAATCTAAACAAATACAACACCTGAAGGTGCAATGCAAAAACGAAGCGGCTCTGGAATGCCAAAGACCAAAAAAAATTGAAGCATAATCCGACGTTAACTGAAAGTGGTGTTGAGGGTTCCAGAACCTTCGAAATGGGCCACCCAAATGTGCCATCGATTTTTGACTGGTTAACGGGGGAAAAAAAAGGAGAACTACATGAAAGGACAAGTTGACACCAGTTGATCCAGCGAAATTCAGCGAAATCCGGTGACATGACCTGTTTGCCCCTGTCAGCGCCCCACTTTAACTGCCCCATTCTGAGGTGGACCCTACGCTCCCTACCACTGGTTTCCAGTATGCTCTTATGGGGGAACTTTCCGTCACCCCAACGTTTTCTCATCGCTTCCTCAACGGGGTGCGTACCATTTTCATTGTGTTTGTATTGTAGGTTTCTGTACACCCCATTCATCGTTGTATTGCCACTAAAATGAGCCCTTACGATGGAGTATAATGTCAGGTTACCAACCAGAAAAAGGATATTCCGTTTCGTTAACTCCCATACCTATTGAGCGAAGCGGACACGATTTTTAATGGATATGATAGTGACGACAAAAATTTCATGGACCACAAAAAGTATGATTTCTTCAGCTATTGGGTAGAGTTTTTTCCTTACTTCTGCACCTTTTCAGCGAAAATGACCCCGTTCGAAAGGTTTGTTCAAGGTTTCTCAGAAAGCAATACACGGTTTCTGTTTGCCCGATGAATCGTCGACTTTTATGGAATTAGGGGAACCCATAAGATAGCGTGGACCCAAAGATCATGGCTCTAGAAACGGAACAGGTCAACTTTTACTTCAATTTAATTATATGCAAGAATGGTGGACATTTGAAAAACCACCCTAATATCTAGATATCTATAATATCTAGGGTGAAGATACTTCTCCTCGAATTTCCACGGTAAACGGCAGTGTTCCGTAGCGGCTACCGTATCCTTCCGCTGGGAGTTCAAACCTTCCCGTTTATAGTGCGCGGGTGCGTACGATCAGATGTGGGGAACGCGATGCGATTTTCAGGGAGAATTCACCACGCCCTTGGAATTGATATCACTGTAGTAGTTCAATTAAATAAGAGCTACATTTTTGCAGCCCTGGGCGCCATACCAGTTGACAAATAGAGCAATTTTATGCAATATAAATATGTAATAATAATTTGGCTATGGTAAAAGCCTGATCGAAGCCCAAGCTGCCTGACGCTAACCAAATAATTTTTAAGCAACATAAAATGCACATGTGCAACTGAGAAGAGTGCCGAACAAACTTAAAAGTGCAACAAAATGTGTCGATACTTCTGAAAAGGTTACCTCAGAACCTTCCCATCACCGGTCTGTAGAAATCTATGTGAATTCACCAAAGGCCCACGTCAATTCAAAGAAATAATTTTACAGTTATTCATATGATGCATGGAATTTCTGGTCAACCACTGATCCTTAAACGGAGTTTAAAAGGCAGGCAAAATTGGTCATGCACTACTCCACAGTGGCAAAGTCAATCTATGGAATTCGAGAAGGCACGTCAGCACGTCCAACCCAGGGCGTGGCCGTCGACGAAATCAGCTTCTGGGTTTTTTGCACTTTATACTTTGCGCTGGGTCACTTTTCTACACTACGTCGCTCCACTTACATCCTTCCCCTTAAGAGAACATTGGGAAATATTTTCATCATAAATTTTGCCTTTAAGAAAAGTTACAAGTCAAGGTCGTTGTGCAGCTTGGATCATGCTCATCTCCTGGGTTAAGGGGCCAAACGCCTCTACAAACCTTGAGGAGAGTCGTGTGCATGACGCTGGTGCTTTAACTCATCCATGCTTCCAAGCGGCTAACTGCACGCGGCGTTTATTACTAGAGCACTTGTTTGCGGTAGAGCAGGCTCTAATCAGAGCTGTACCAGCTTTCCTCCTCCCCACTTCCCCTATCTTTTCAACTTCCACAACTTCCTGAGCCCCTACAACATGGATGCAAGGAATCGCAATAAAATGCAAGTGGGAATGCAAAGGAAATCGAAAAAGGCCTGAGAGCCGACCACAGCCATGACCCGGAAATATACGCTCTAAAACTCATGAGTGTTATAATAACGTAAGACTGGCCCAACCAACTGTTTGTGATAGCGGAGCCGCACTACATTACCCGACATCCCAGACCCGAGCCTGTAGTGACCCATAACCTGACAGATCTCCTAGTAGTTCCTCTAGGTCATTCAGCTATTACATCATCCCTTCCTCGAACGGTGATATGCATCTACCTTTATTCTCTACTGGTAGTCAATCTATACGACTGCTTTGGTGTCTAAAATTTACGCCAAGATTGTTAACTTTTATTTCCATTGTAGACCTAAACTCCAGGTATGAATCAAGGGTGATTCACGACCAAGGCCTATGGCGTACGCAAATCAGAAGTCTCGTCATAGCTCAGAAAAAAGGACCGACTAGAATTTACTAATTCGTCTCAGAAGATCAAGTGTAAGGGAGGGGGGACACCTGCTGAGGACCAGGGAGTGCACATGGCTTGGACTTAGGCTTATAAGGGCATCCTAAACCTATAAGGGGCATCTTTTAGCTCCTCATGAGATCCCTCTTCAACCGCTCACGTCAGTCTAAACCGGCCACAACTTTGTTACGCATCCTAGGCGGTCTCACAACATTTGGTATTGTACGTAGTAATCATGTACAGTACCAAATTTAGTGGCAATGGCTAGTTCGCTGAACAGACTCATGGATGGTTCAGAATGACGGAAACGATTGGAAAATGATTTCATGGGGTGTTCAAAAAGCTAACATGGAATGGGAAGGGTCCGTAGTCCTAAATGATCTAAATAAATGGGAATTCATTGGACCTAAAAATCTAATAAATGAGTGAGAGCTGAACTGCCCTCAGAAAACGTCTTCAGACCCAATTTTTTGGTAAGGACGACGTGATCCAAAGACCCTAACAATTGAGTGGGAGCTAAACTGCCCTCAGAAAACGCCTTTGAGCGCAATTTTTTTTTAAAAACTCTTCTTTAGAGTTGGTTCTGTCTGTTAACCAAGGGCCAATACACTCGAGGCGTTTTTATCGAATGTGAAAACGAGTTTCTTCCTCGGAACTGACCGCATTTCATTTCATCTGATCCATCAGTGCAGTCGTATTTTCTGTCGCAGTGATTCTCCTAGAAACAAAATCTTGAATCATGCGACAAAGGGCTGACAATGTATGCTTACAAAGTAGTATTACAGTATCTTGAAGGGCTTCCCTAAACAAAAATGCTTCCCCAAAGGAAATTGTGTAGAGGTACCAACAGAAGACATAAAGAAAAACACTACAATCACTCCTCAGGGAAAGAAATCGGTTTTCGGGAAAGGAAATTAAATGTGGGATCTCCCAACAGAGACGCAGTCTGGCGAAAGATTGCTCGCTCCAATGGCGTACAGTACTGATCCCTGCCCTGATTG